ACTTTCTGTCAACTTCAGGAGAGTAAGCACTGGAAGCGCTCTTAGGCTGTATCTGCCATGAATCATGATGCTCCGCACACGCACCCCCCAAGCAGGCACATTTTATTCCTGGCAAACAACTGCCCTCTGCCAAGTCACTAGCCAAGCTTTTCATGCACCACATTGTGATGCTGCATTCCCGCCCCCACAAGATAATTTCAGACAGGGGGTTGCGGTTCATCGCTAAGTTCTGGAAGGAACTGCTGCAGGTGTTGGGGGTGGAACAAGGTCTCAGCTGCTCCCATCACCCAGAGATGGATGGGCAAACTGAGAGGTGAATCAAGTGGTGGAGCAATTCCTCTGGTGCTTCACCAATTACCAGCACGACAACTGGGTTCACCTCCTCCCTTACGTGGAATACAGTTATAGTAACTCAGTGCACAGTGCCTAAAGGATCGATGGTCCCCAATCCAAGAGACTCTGAGAAAGGTGAAAGAGGACTACAAATAGCAAACGGAAAAAGGGAGAGCTCCTGAATGGGAGTTGCAGCCTGGAGACTCAGTGTACCTCTCCTCAAGAAATCTGAAGGGGCTCCAGCCAGGGAGGAAATTGGGGTGGAAGTATATTGGCCCATTCAAGGTGTTGAATGTCTTGAACAAAGTGGCTGTGAAATTTGATTTACCCAAGACTCAGAGGCATATTCACCCTGTATTTCATTTCAGTTTACTGAAATGGGATCCAGGCCCAAACAAGTGGAGACCTCGTCCAGCTGCTCCACCTCCTCTAATGGTGGATGGTGAACCCCACCAGGAAGTGGAAGAGATCCTCGATTCTAAGTTGAAACGGAACCAACTATACTACTTGATTAAATGGAATTACTTTGATGTATCACATAATGAATGGGTGAAATGTTATGGAATGAACCCGTACATTCCATAACAAATAGCTTCACAAGCCGAAGGGGTGAGAGGTCTTGGGAGGGGCAGTATGTCAGGCTCAGTATGCATTTTATAATTCGCCTGCCATAGAGGGAGGAGGAGGGGGAGAGGGGTGTGATAACCAAATGCTTTCATTTTCCTAAATGCTTTGATGTACCAGACGTGTGTTGCAGAGACCTGTTGCTCTGTTTTATTTCTGTAGAGGGGTACGTGCTTAGTGGGGGGGTAGTCAACTGTTATTTCTGGTGGGCAAATGCCGTGGGGTGATTGGGTCCTGATCTTTAGTGCCTTTGCTTGAACACAATATATCTACAATCTTCACACTTTCACCTTCAGTCCTAACAAAGCTCGTGTCCAGAATGGTATCTATCAACATCTCAATAAACTAAACTTTTTTCAAAGTGAATGGTGTTGAGATCTGATTCTGAAACATGGCTGCTTTTGAGGGCAGACTCTATGGCATCCCCAAGCTCCAGGTTAGGAAATACCTGGAGATTTTAGAGGTGGAGCTTGAAGAGGGCAGGGCTTGGGGATGACCTCAGCATGTATTATGAACTGAGATCGAGGCAGCTCTTAAACAAAGTGATTTCATTTTATTCAGCTCATAACAACACTAGACAACACTACATAGAACAAGACTGACTTATATATGATATGAACGGGCAAAACCAGACCCAACAAACAGATAACAACCAATAGGAACACGGAGCTTGGAACCAATGAGAGTGGTTCCCGCTAAAGCCAAGGCTTCTCTGATTGGCCCTTTAGATCAATCCTTGCAATGCTCTTTTAATATAGAACTGTGCATAAGCTCACTCATGTCTTTATTATGTTAAGACATAACAGCATGGTACAATACCATCGAGTCCATCTTCTCCATTTTCTCCAGGGCAAGAGATCTCTATCATCTGGAGATCAGTTTTAGAAGTGGGTTATCTCCAGGCTCCACCTGGAAGTTGGCAAATCTAAATAGCATTGTACCCTGCTGAGGTCCCTCACCTCTCTAAATTCCACTCTCCCCAGGCTCCACCCCCAAAATCTCCAAGTATTTCCCATGTTCAAATAATCCTGGGGGACAAAAAACTTTTACAGCCATTATGACTGTGATTATGACAAGATGTTTAACATTGTCAGGGGTAACTTATGGGAGATATTGTTTAATAAAAGGAGCTGAAAAAGCCCTGGCTCTGGTCAAGTCAGACTTCTTTAGGGCTAGGGATCACCAGTAGATTATTTCCAGCGGAGTGTAAAGCTCTTTGGGGGGCAGCCCAGAGGATGTGCATATCTCTTTCTCTTTCCTGCCCCAACATTTCCGACATCCTGCTACCTGGTAAGAGGAATACAGAAAACAAGACCCCAAAACAACTGGATGTAAGAAATAATTCTGGGTGGATTAAAAGCCTCTCTGTGATTTCTGAAGGGGTATAGTTTATGCTGTGGCTCAGTGGTAGAGCACTTGCTTGGCATGCAGAAGGTTGAAAGCACCAGGTAGTAGGTGACGTGAAAGATTTCTGCCTGAGACTCTGGAGAGCTGCTGCCAGTCTGAGAAGACAATATTGACCTTGATGGACTAATGGCCTGATTCAGTATAAGGCAGCTTCATGTAAATTTCTGACTGTGTATCTGTGCTAGATAAAAAAAATTTATCCCACCCATCCTCAGTTCTCCCCTCCATGTTTTAATCTCACAATATTCCTGTGAGGTAGACTAGACAGAGAACAGGGACTGGCCCAAGGTCACCCAGTGAACTTCATGGTAGAGCAAGAATTTGAACCTGGGTCTCCGCAGCCGTAGTATGATACTCCATTCGCTATTACAAACTTGTTGTACAGAAATAAGATGTTATGCCATTTTGAATTTTTTGGTTTAGTTTTCACTTAGATTCCCTCCCTGTTTGTTAAAAAAAAAAAAATGGTAGCTATGTACTCCCCTGCTGTACATGAAAAGAACAAATCTAACCAGATTTTTAAAAGAAAGGGGTGGAAGAATCGAATAGCCTCATGATTATTTAATGTCTCAAGGCTGTTCTCAGTACAATGTCTCAAGGCAGTCTATCATACATACCTTGGGTATCATTCTATTGCTGTGGAAAAGTCACAGCTAGGTTTAAAGGCTTGCTTTTGAATTGCATTTATTGTGATTTTAAATTGTTTTCAAGGAATGGCTGCTAGTGTGAGTGGCTAAAATACTGAACTAAGAACACGGAGACCCAGGTCCAAATTATTACTTTATCATGACGTTCACTGGGAAACACTGGGCCAGTCTGTCTTAACCTTACAAGGTTGTTGTGAGATTAAATTTGTGGAGGAGACACCCACATATTTTGCCCTGAGCTCCCTGGAGAAAGGGGAGGATAAAAAAAACAATAAAACAAACTAATCTCCTTTTTAATTTTAAAAATGTGTCATAGCTATATAATTTTTTAATGAACCATCTTTTTATGAAAAGGTATCTGTGCCTTAGGTATGTATACCTCAAATACTTTACAACTGCGTATAGCAATGGTCACTCAGATAATCCATTGCCAGTTAGAATTAGTCATATGTGATTTGAAACCTGGGTAGGGATGGCATTTCTCCCATTTGACCTTACTAAATGGTACTGATGCAAGCACACACAGTTGGTAGTTGATGGTTAGAACCAATGGGGCTAGCATTCTGGGTTTGGCCCAGTCCAAAGGACTTATAAAATTGGCTTGGGTTGTCCAGAGTGAAGCTATGTTTTTCCTAACATCCAGGGCTTTTTTTTGTAGAAAAAGCCCAGCAGGAACTCATTAGCATAATAGGCCATACCCAACAGCAGGAACTCATTAACATATTAGGCCACACCCTGACAGCACAGCTCATTCGCATATTAGGCCACACCCCCATGTTACCAGAAGTGTGGTCATCCAGCCACACCCACCTATTGCCTCTTATTCTCTTTACCTTGTTTGTTGTCAAAACGCAGAGCTTTTTGCATGTTAGGCCACATACCCCTAATTGTAGCCAATCCTAATGAGTTTCTGCTGTTGAGTGTGGCCTATTATGCTAATGAGTTCCTGCTGGGCGTGGCCAACTTGGGAGCCAGCCAGAACTCCGTTCCTGTGCGTTCCTGCCCAAAAATAGCCCTGCATCTGTCCAAATCTCTTTGGGAAAAGGGCATCCACTGAATAACTGGAGACAGCATGGGTGACCATCTCTGGATGTTTATGTGCTCAACAGCATCTGAAGGGTGAGCCATTGCTATAATAATGAATTCAAAATTTCTGTCTCTTTCCAACCCTCATCCAATGTATTGTCTGCTCACACACACACATGCCCACACACACCCTTCAATCTACAAGCAGTCTGAATTCAAGAAAAAAATATTACTAATCCAAATGGGTAGAATTGTCATGAATACATTGAACCTGCCACTGTGCCCCCCCCCCAAAAAAAAACCCTACACAGCATTTCCCAAAGTATAGGGAAAGTGTGCTATCTAATTTCCAAACAAAAAAACCCCAATGAGTTAATATGCCAAAATGTTACAAGTGCCTTATATCAGAATACAATACTTGATGCCTGATTCATGTATAAAATGGGGGTGGGGGGATGTAAATTATAATTACAAACATTCCTTTGGAAGAGGATATAATTCAGATTGTGTGAAAGACAAATATTTATTGAATATGTCCTTTTCTGTTCTCCCCACTCTCCCCCAAAAAAGACATTGTGGCAAGGATTTTTGCTGCTGTTGATTAAAAAAACAATCTTCTAAGAAATGAGGGGGGAGGGCAATCGAAAAGCTTCATCTCAGCTAAGCCAGCTGTTGGGATAAGTTTAACTGTTCACTTCTGATGCTGCATTTTCTCATTTACAAATGGTGAGAAAAAAAGAGGAGAAATCACAAGTCGGAACATACACAAAGCAGGAGCTTTCGACACTTAAGAGCACCTCTATTTAATTTCTCTTCCCCCCCCCTTTCTCAAACACACTGAGGAGGAGGGGGACGGGGAGGACGGGGGAGGGGGAGGAGAGAGAAAAGTGAGCTCACATTCACACATTGGTGAAGAGGCTGGTCTTGCAATTCCTTTGAATATTTTACTTTCAGTCAGTTTCCCTTCATAGTCATATACACAGACACATGCTGAGCTGAAGTGAGCCACAGCAATGGACTGCACTGGAAGATCTGAAATCTGATCACACACAATCTCTCTCCCTCTTATCTCTGTTACATACCTCTGCCTATCTGTATAGGCAGGCAGAGAGGGGGAAAGGAACAGTATCAGCCACACCATCACCCCCAACAGAACACCTTATCTCTTATTGCTGGATATACACAGGCACACATACACAGAGACAGACTCACAGACGTCTCTTTCTCTTCTCCTGGCTTCCCTGGAAGATTTTGCTGGCTGTTTTTCATGGAGAAAGTCCAAGGAGAAATGGAGATTGAGAGATGGGAAAGAAGCGAAGAGATGTCAGATGCAGAGAAAAAGGTGATTCAGGAGACATGGAGCAGAGTGTATGCGAACTGCGAGGACGTTGGGGTCTCCATACTGATCAGGTATTTAAAATGTTTTATAAGAAGCCAAAAATCGAAGTAAAAATTATTGAGGTCTGGGTGGTAGCAACTGTTTCTCTCAATGTAGTGGCTCTTTGGGAAAGATTTCACTGCATTTTGATTTTTAAAATGTTAGAGAAGAAAACAGAGGGGGGAAATACCTCTGCTATTGTGGCTGATGCAAATCAATACTTCTGTCAGAAAGGTCACCTTATTCTGTGTACATAAAGCAGGAGTTTCAGAGGATGGGATCATTGTACTGCATTCTGCTTTGCTATTCTTATTTAGCTTTTTTGCTAAAGAAATTACATATACACCAGATTCCTGGGTGAAATAATACAACTTACGAGCCAAGATAAATCCCAAACAGGGCTGCTGAAGCTTGTCGATACCATCTGCTTGCTAGCCGAGTTGCAGTGTCAGTATAAAATATAATGCCGAAGTTGTCTCCTGGGGCTGTCATGAAGGTTGCCAGCTGGAGGGTAAATCAACACAGGGTTTGTGGTGGCATTACTGTACTGGAATTGGCATGGTGAAAGTGCTGCATGGCAATGGATGTTGTGCATCGCAGAAATCTATTAGATAGGCAGTTGAAATAACCAGTGTGTTTATATGTGGTCATCCAGGTGGAACAAAAGAGGAAGGCAGACAAGACACTCTGTTTAAAATTGATGTGTTCCACAAACCAATAGAACCAAACACTTCACTTGCCTTGGTTCTAGTTGTTCCAGTGAGATTCCCCTGAATGTAAATATATCCTCTCAAGGGTTCTGTGGATTGTGGCCATCTCCCTGCTAGAAATCAGGGAGCTGTTTCAATATCTGACCTGGTTTTGTGTTTCTGAAAACTCCTGCAAGACTCTGGTTCTCTTTTTGGTTATAGGGAAGACCACTGCAGGCGACAGGAAAAATAGGCCCAAGCTAATAAGAGATAAGATGCAGGAGCAGCAAGTAATTGATTTAAGGAAAACTCACTTGACTTTTATTTAGAACTGTTCCAAATATAACTAAGGCTGGTTCTGCATCGGGCAGCTGCTCCACATTTTCTCAACACTGAGGAAAAGGTGCAGCTCAAAACCACATTCAAACACCACGAGCCAACACCATACTGATTGCAAAGTCACCCCTGAACAGCCATAAAACGGCCATAAATTTATGCAGGAGGTACCATAAAACCTGATGATCAAAGAAAGTGAAAGCAGCATGCAATGCAGAGGGTACCATAAAATCCGATGATCAAAGGAAGTGAAAGCAGCATGAATATAACAGTAGTACAACAGAATACCATTTTTAAGCAACCAAAATCTTTTTCTACACTTACAAACAGGCTCTTCTGCAAAGTTGCTTCTTCTCATAAATCTTCAGTTCCTAAAACAGCTGAAGAGGTTGGATTGGAGATAAAAAATTGCTCTTATTTTGAGGCAATCCTGCATTTTAAAAAGTTGTCCCAGAACTTCACATTTCTAGATAGCATAATGAACATCCTTTATTTTCAAACATTCAGTGGTGTAGCTAGTTTTTGGAATACTGACCTACTACACCAAGTTTTGACATCCACCTGTCCTATGACACCCTTCCACATAGAACCAGACACACACCTGACCACACCCAGCTCTTGGACCAAACTGGGCTAAACAGCACAGGCTTGTCTATAATGACCAAAAATCTTTGATTCCCCCCCCCGAGCAGTCTACATGAGGGTATTGGATAATGTTCAGTTAGCTGTGAAGGATACTTGTAGTTCGGGTGTGTTCAGTAGCCACACAGCAAAAATGCAACAAGATAGCAATCATGTTCCCAGGTAGATTTGAATAGTCATTCCTCAAAAATGTAGCTCTTACATTGTTCCACTTTACTAAATACACCAAAAATCGGCTACTGTTGCTGTGCAGAAGTGTCCTTTAATGATGATACATTGGTGAACTGTGCTGAAAATTCATGTTTTCTTATGGTCTACGTTCCTGTGCCGCTAACCTTCAACATAGGTTTCCTTCCTTATGGAACAGCAAACACTTCCAGATAACAAGTAGATGCAAAAAAAAATTAGTACTTTCTTACAACCACACACACACACATTCCATGATATTCCAAAATCACATTGGTCAGTTTTCAAGTTAGCCATTTGAGTCCTCGGTTATCATGTCTAACAGCTGTCTTTTGGTCCATAAATCATAACACGGGGCAGCCTTGCTAAAAGTTATGCTGATCCACTGACTCCATCTTCAAATCACTAGATTCTGGAAAGTTCGTTTTCACTGACTGACTTGCAATCAGTTGCAAATTATATCAGATTAAGATCATGTCAGCAACAGGTTTATTTCCTAATAAGCCTATACTAAACATACATCCGTACATGATAAACTAAGACAAGAGAAAGGGTGTCCTTTGATGATGCAAAACATAGTTTATGATGGAGTGCAAAACTGTATCTTCACTTAGTAAAGAAGTTAGATGATTTGTTTGTTGTGTGTAGTGAGAAGAATAGTTTCACTCTTCAGAGCAGTTGTATACCTCAGCACAAAAGCTGAGGGGAAGGTTCTACCCTCCCCTGCCAGCAGTTGTGCAAACTCTGTGGCAGAATGCTGACATATGTGTATTGACATTTTATATACACAATACATGACATATTGCTGGGTGTGACATGATTTCCATGTTGCTATCTAGCCTTTAAGAATGACAGCAAGAGAATTTGAGAAGGGGAGAAGAGCAAACTCAGATTTGTAAGCACAGGTATGCAGACTATCCTGGACAGTACCAGTTTCAGTTTCAAAAAGTTACGGTTTTGCTTATTTACTTCTCCTTTATATTACTTGTATGTGCTCCAGTCTAGCTCCAGTTATGTGTAGTTATGCTTAACTAGTTCTGCATTAGAATGAGCACTGGCATGTGCATCCCATCGAGAGTACTACAGAGCTGATCAACATCTGCACCTGAGTATATATTCAATGCGCATTTTGATGCATATTCATCTTCTCCTCCCTTCACCTAGTTTATGCAAGAGTTTGTGCATCTGGCTGTCAATTTTTTCTCTCTCTTGAAGGAGAATAAATGGGATAGATTTGGACATAAGGAAGGATTGTGATAATTGTCCACACTAGCAGAAGAACATCTGCATCAGAAATTAAACCTGGCAGATTACTGTGCAATTTGTACCTGACTGAATTTGTCTGGCGATAACTACTAGAGATTTCTAATATCACAACAGATAATATATATAAAAACTGGTACTGAATTCATTCAAGAAATATACAAAATGACTGCAATGACAGCACTCAGCTGAAGGAAAAGGAAGCTGATGAGCAATGGATGTGATAGACAGAAAGCACTGCAGCCTACCTTGTCTCTTGAATTACTCAGGCCATACTGAAATTGCTTTCCTAGTAGGGTAAGAGGGATGATGTGATCATCAAATGCTGTTTGTGAAATTGCACAAGAGATCTAAATATTTACTAGGGAAAGGAGAAGGAAGAAGAACTTGTGTCAGGATGTGAACTGGCAGTGTAATTTTACAGGTACCATTTTTATTCATTCCTCAACTTGTCCTACAAGAATTCTTCCTAAGAGTAGGATATTTTCCTGATTATGCCAACAGATAGCAGTTTGTGACACAAAAGGAAGAAATAAAACATTCAGGAGATATAACTATTTTGTTTTCCCCACTCTTCCTCCAAGCAAGTTACATGGTCCTTCTCTCCTCATTTCAGTCTTACAAGAACACTACAAGGATAAGTGAGGTTGAGAGAGAATTAATGGATCAAGATCACCCAGTGAGTGTTGTCTCCCCCAGTCTAGCCCAACTTTATGACCACTACTCCACACTGGCTATTATATTCTGCTTCAAGAAAAATGTGACAGAGAAGGCAGTGTGATATAAGTGCCAGAGTCTTTTCTTTAGCCAGGGAAAACCTAGAATTCACATTGCCATATATGTCCCAGAGAGCCTTGCAACCTGCGGATCACCATCTGCTGGTTATCCCCAGCCCAAGGAACATTCATTTAGCCTCAACCAGGGCTTTTTTGGCCCTGGCCCTGGTGGAACATCGAGATCGGGGCCCTTCGATAGCTAGTACAGTTTTGCAGGGCTTGCAAAATGAAGCTGTTCCACCAGGCCTTCAGGTGAGGTGGTGGGCATCCATTAGTTGGCCTCCCTGCTGCAGTTGCTGCAGTTTCTGCTACTGATAGACTGCTACTTATAAGATCTCTATAGCTCAGCTGCTGCCCAATTATTCCCAGTTTAGGATCACTGAACATGTAATTGCTGCTATGTCCATCTTTTAACTGTTTTAACTGGTTTTATTGCTTAATATTTACTTTTAATCGCTTATTGATTGTAAATTAGTGTTGGACCCGCCCTGAGTTCATTTGTGGGAACTGTGGGATATAAATAAATAGATTCCAATTTAGTCTCAAAACTTGATTTGAAATCAGTGCTTCCCACACCAGCCAAGTTTACCTCACAGAACTGTTGTAAAACTTGTAATGCATTTTAGATATTGAAAAATGTTATTAAAATGCTGTCATAAATAACAAACCGTAGCTAAAGCTTAATTCTATTGGCATTCCAAGGAAATGGAAGGTGTGTGTCTAACAAATAAATCTAACCATCTTATTAGCCAGAGGAATCAGCACTGATTCTATGCAAATCTAGGTCATATAAATTGGTTCAGCATGGTTTCAGAATAGATCACAGACCAAGAGGTATTTAGGTATCTTTGCTGTTCAAACCTATCAAACACTGATTGATCTCCAATCTTTGATTAATTGTGGACAAGAGCAGGGTACACATAGATCCGTTTTGCAGATGAAAAAGAGATCCATGCCTCAATTTATCAAAGAGAGCAGATAAGTGTTGAACATTCCTTTAGAATACCGAGTAGGAGCTGATGACTGGTGATCAATACCAGATCGACAATAGATGGAAAGGTCAAGGATTCCAAACATAGTTTTTAAAATTTCATAATAAATCAAAAACATCTTCAGGCACAAACAACCAATTTCCCCACA